ATAACTTCTTTGAGCAGTGACCATGATAGTATTTGTAGAAAAGAGAAAGAGATGCAACTTTACGACGATGGGAAAGAGGCTAAAGCTTAGCAGATAGTCCAGGTCCAACAACATTTAAAATGCGTTTTTGGACCTTGTCAAGAAGAGAAAGTGAATCGTTAGAAGAATCAGCCTAAATATGACAACAATATTCCATACAGGGACGAAATTTGTAGAGGTAGAGAAAGAAATTTGTAGAGGTACAAAGAGATTTGTAGAGGTAGAGAATGGAATCAGAAGTAAGGAAATGGCGAGCACGATAAAGAGAAGCAACCTTAGCAGAAGCTAATTTAGCAAACGATTGTATATATGGTTTCCATGAAAGGTCAGTTGTAAGCGATAATCCAAGAAGACGTAAAGAGGAGGACTCAGTAAGAGGATTGCCATTCATTAATATAGGAATGTTGACCATATTACGGTAGTTGTTTGCAGTAAACAACTGGGTTTTGTTAGAGTTGAAATTCACAAGCCACTGTGAACCCCAATCTATTACTGAAGTGAGATCGGATTCAAGATCAGCTGCTTGTTCTAGGCGATCGAAAAGAGAAGACTTTTTGTCAAGACAGGAGTATAAAGTTGAGTCATCAGCAAAAAGAGCTACTTTAGATGAAAGGTTGTCAGGAAGATCGTTTATGTAGACAAGAAACAAAACAGGGCCAAGGATGGAACCTTGGGGAACCCCAAAAGTTGCTGGAAATAAAGAAGAGTGTTAGCCTTCAAAGATGACTTTAATAAACCGGTTAGAAAGAAATGATTTGATAATCTCAAAAACTTTCTCAGAAACACCATATGAAGCGAGCTTATGGAGAAGACCAGCATGCCAAACTTTGTCAAAAGCTTTCGATATGTCGAGAGCAATAGCCCTAGCCTCACCGCCTCCATCTAATTCACGATAAAATCTTTCAGTTACTGCAGTTAGCAAGTCGACCGTAGAGCGAGGGGATTAAAAACCGTATTGATTGTCTGACAGTAGTTTATTTGACTCAAGATAAGATGTGAGGAATTTGTTGATCAAAGACTCAAAGACCTTGCTAATAACAGAAAGAAGACTGATCGGACAATAATTGGAGGGGTCAGAATTTTCTCCAGAGTTTTTGAATATTGAAACCACAGATGCCATTTTCCAACAAGCAGGAAAATAAGACTCAGTCAAACACTTGTTAAATAGTTTAGAGAGAATTGAAGAAAGTTCTGGAGAACAATTCTGCAAGACTGTGACAGGAATGTTGTCTGGACTTTTTTGCAAAGTCTTTTTTTGCAAAGTCTGTTTTTATTGGAGTCATCCGACGTTTTTTCATTTTCTTTAACAGGGGAAGTTTCACTTTCTAACTTAGAATTTTCTTTAAGGTTAAATGGATGATTTGCTTTTCTTTTTACGCTTGCCCTCTCCACAATTTTAATATCTGCTAAATTACATTTATTAAATATCGAATTATATAATCTTGCAAAAGAAATATCATCTTCTTCTGAAAATTTCATCACTTTACAAAAAAAAGATGTTAAAATGAGTTTTGTATAACTGACACAGAAATTTCTTTCCGTGTCTGCGCCACTAAATAAACAACATCTTTCAAATTTATGTATTTTAGTACTAAAATTATTCCCTCTTCTGCATCTGAGGCTGCAACTCATGCAAGTACAAAATGCTCTGAGTCAACTCATATTTTAAAGCTATCAGACATTGAGTAAGCTCTGTATTCTCTATAAGAACCTTAATCTGACCTATTTTTACGGGGAGATAAGTCACTTTTTTTCCCATTGCTACTAAAGTAAATTAAAAAAAATATATTAAACAATGAAGATAATGTTAATTTTGTACGTGAAGTTGATGGTCTAGTTTCAGGACCTTAAATTGAGTTATTTTTGGTGGCCTGACTGCTTGCAAATCAATCCCTGTCTAATTACAAATAATTGAAAAAAATTAATATTCATACCTAAGAACATTAAATTTATTACATATATATCTATATATATATTTTTTAACATTATATATATATATATATTTTTTTTTTAACATTATATATATATATATATATATATATATATATATATATTTTTTTTTTTTTTTTTTAAAGAAAATGTTGTGCTAGGCAGTAATTATATTTTAAACTAGAATTTGATAAGTATCTTCAGGAATTATATTTTCTGAAACTTTGACTTTCTTCTTAACCTGAATAAGGTTTTTCATATTTAGATTATAAATCTTACATAATTCCTTTATATCGTCTAAAAATGAATGTTTTACTGAACAATAGTTAAGCTGGGAATTAATGATTTCAAAGTGACTTTATTATTTTTATCAAGTCTATGCATTGTTAACTCTCTATTTTCAAAGAGTTCCAAGCCATGCGTTAGTGTGAACTGCTGAAGATTTATATAATTGGATAATTGAAGATGGATGTTCAAATCGGATACCAGAGTTTATACAGTTGTTTGGAAATTTGATACCATATTGTTAATATTTGATCTATTTATTGAGGCAAAATTGGATTTTTCTGTGTCCCACATGAAACCCAGATAATTAAGTTTTCATTTGGTATTATTTAATGGTTGTCTGGGTTATCTTGCAATTAGTTACTTGTCGTTTTGCGGAGAGCAAAAGTTCCATTTTGACAGCATTGAGTTTTATGACGTTTAAGTTATTGAGATCATTAAACTTTGTAATAAGCCTTCCAAGACCAGACAGAGTAGAGCTAAGCAGAATGATGTCGTCAGAATAAGCAACAACTCCTGTGAAGTTACCATGTATTATCATTTTTTATAGTTTCAAGTAAGTTTTGGGTGAATATGTTATACAAGTGGGGCGACAAAATTGATCCTTGCCTTTCACTTTGCTTGAATGAAACTGAAGTGGAGCCAAGGTAAAAGACAGTTGCACTACTGTTTTGATATAAAGAAGATACAGTGTGAACTATTTGGAGAGGTAGGTTTTTATCAAAGTAAAGTTTATCAGAGAAGATTCCAGTCGCAACGGTCAAAAGCTTTTTCAGCATCTAGCAAACATAAGTAAATAGGCGAACTGTTGTTGAAATACGGAAAGAGAAAATATTAAATTAAAATAAGAAACTAAATACATAAATAAAATATGACTTAAACGCACATAATATATGAAAATGTATTTACATTAAAAAAAAGTATATTATTGTAAGAAAATATTTATATTAAAAAAGTTTTTATATACGAATAATTTGATTTATATTTCCGCATAACATAAACAATTTTTTATTCTATATTAAATAATTATTTAAAATAGTTATATTAATTTTAGAAATTTAATAATATCTTTAAAACTACAATACTTTTATAAAAGTTTTATAAAATACGTGCGATTTTTATAATTAAAACGAATCGCGCAATAAACAATTTTTTTAATTTAGGTGCTCCAAGATGTCCTTACGGTCTTATGACACAGTACCGCAATTTGATTACAAAAAAACCACTAAGTTGCAGTTGCGTTATTTTGTAGAGAATAAAAGAACTTGTGAAATTTTTTTTAAAATTCGAACAGCATTTATTGTTTTATATGGTTACATATGAACATATTATTTATGATATAAAATTCTTTTTTTTTTCTGTTAAAAAAACTAAAATCATATATTATATTGTTTTATTTTTTTTAACCGAAAAAATAAAGATAATTTGATAACTTTGCGCCCAGGGCAATTTCCCCTTTGGCCCCCACCTCGCTACGCTACTATATATATATATATATATATATATATATATATATATATGGAATAGTAATAGGATGGAATAGTTTTAGTACTAAAAAACATAAATTTGAAAGATGTTTATTTAGTGGCGCAGACACGGAAAGAAATTTCTGTGTCAGTTATACAAAATTCATTTTAACATCTTTTTTTTGTCAAGTGATGAAATTTTCAGAAGATGATATTTCCTTGGCAAGATTATATAATTCGATATTTAATGATTGTAATTTAGCAGATATTAAAATTATGGAGAGGGCAAGCGTAAAAAGCGAAGCAAATCATCCATTTAACCTTAAAGAAAATTCTAAAGTAGAAAGTGAAACTACTCCTGTTAAAGAAAATGAAAAAATGTCGGATGACTCCAATAAAAAAATCAACAATGTTATAAATACTTTGGTGATAGAATGTGAAAAAGAAAATGACTTACCCTGCAATGAGGTTCCTTTGTTACTAAAAATAAGAGAAAAAGCTATGATGAACAAATATATGTAATTGTTTTTGCTTGTTTTGGCAATTAGTGCTGACCTAAAACAAGGATTTATTAAAATTTGATTGTTTTTTTTTTAAATATAACTAATAACTACGTTTATATGATATATGATAATAATAATAAAATGTTTTTTTTTTTGAAAAATAAAACTGAGTTTATTTATTCTACAGTTTAGTTAATAAAAAATTATTTTCCAGACGGTAAATATTTTTTTACTCCCTTTTTTCTCTATAAGCAACTTTTCCAAATAAGAAACTTTTTTATTAAATTTGATTCAAATGAGTTGCTTATATAAAGCGTTCACTTTATATATATATATATAAATATATAAATAAATATATATATATGTATAAAATATATATATAAAATATATAAAAAGCCCCCTGAGCCAGAAAAAAATGAATGAAAATAAGAATTTGAGGGGGCTTGCAAACAAATTAAAGATTTGTAAAAGCAAAAAGTGATTAAAATTTTGTTTTGTTATATTTGATATTTTGTTATTGTTTATGTGTTTTCAAAAAAACATCTTAAAGTGAAATTAAAAACACTTTAGTTTTTTTTATTATTTCCCGTATAACTAAATTATTTAGTATAACTAAATAAAAAATTCTTTCAAACCTTAATAAAAAGTTCGAACTTCAAAAACAAAACAAAAAAAACATCCGCAATTCGAAAAAATTTATTGAAGTTCGTTTTGTGACGAAGAGCACTTATTAAACGGAGTTGCTCCGTCCTAACTTTAAAGTAAAAACACAAGCACAATAAACATAAAAAATTTTTATTAAAAAAGAATACAAAATATTTGGTAATCTTTTAACTAAATAAATGATAAATTCTGTCTTTTTTCCGTTATATATAAAAAAGCTGTCAGTGGGGTTAAAATTCTGCATTACGATATTGTTTGTTCACGCTACGCTGAAATGGAAGAGCGTTTTACAGTGTTACAAGTTCCTTTTTCTATTTTTGTTTAAAAAATATTCAAACTCTGGAATAAACAAAACTAATGTCAACAAAAAGTAGATACAAAATAAAAACAAAAAAATTAGATTAAAAATACTTGTGTGCACACTAATAAACATGCAGTTTAATTAGAATGTGCATTTGTAAAAAATAAAAATAAAAAGATAAAATAAAAAAAGAAATAAGAATTAAAAAAGAACTATAAGCTACCAATCTATAAGCCCAATATTTTTTATAAATTAAATATATTTAAATATGGATATGTGATATATTGATGTATAGAGTGAACGAGATGAATAATTAAATGAGCGAGATCAATAATACAAGTAATGTGCTAAATAATAATGCAATGTAACATTGGAAGTTAGCTTTGTATGCACATCTTTATTTCAATCCACATATCATTAGAGGTGGACATACTTTAAGTGTAACATTTTTAGAACAACATTCTTTAAACAGGCTGTTGGTGAGGATTTCGCATGACAAGAAGTTCTTCATTTCCTTGACCACGTAGAGCCCAAGTACAATACCCTGCAAGATCTTTACGTGTAACAATGCCAATCACCTTTTAAATAAAAAAAATTTTCAGTTTCATGTTTATCTCAAAAACTCTATAATGCAAAAAATAAAAATAATACCTGATTGTTATCGTTAACAACCACCAAATGTCTGAGGCCTAATGCGCGAAACAGTCGAAAACCTCTGTTTAATGATGATTTCTGTAGAACAAAGACAAAATATGCTCATTTTTTAAATTCAATTTTCATAAAGAAAAAAAATCAGATTAAAAATAAATCACCTCCTGTATGGAATAAGGAGCCGGATTCATAAAAGATCGTAAATCAATATAACAATCACGCTCTCTTTGAGAGATATTTATATTCTAAAAAGATAAAGAATATCTTAAAAGTAAATTTTGAGAGATATATTCTAAAAAGAAAAAGAATATCTTAAATATAAATTTTAATCTTAATTTAATTAACATAATTAAAATAAGTAAAATAAAGTAAATAATGAAACAAAAAATCATATTTAGACATACAGTAAAAATATAAAGTCATAACAGACCAATAATACGCTTTAATTATCAATAAATACGTCATTCCTGTGAATTAGGTGATCTATATGACTTTAGAGTCCAGTCCCCTTAATGTATTGATAGGTAAATTTCAGATTCACAGTAATCAAATTATCTTCAACAAGTTAAACAAATTATAATTAGATTTCAAAGAGAATAATAAAAAGGCCTTGCATGATAATTTAGTGCCGAGTGGTAATTTTAAATAACAAGATATTAAATAGCATTGGATAGATGCAATACTGGTCAATTTAGATCATTCTTAAAATTCATTTTTAAAAATGCAAACATTTTTAAAAATGAATTTTGCTTTTTTTTTAGTTTAAATTTTGATCATGAATAAATTTAAGCTTGACTAAATAGCATTCTAAATAATATATAATAATATTATAAATAATATACAATAATATTATAAATAATATATAATAATATATATATATATATATATATATATATATATATATATATATATATATATATATATATATATATATATATATATATATATATATATAATAAATTATATATATATATATACAAAATAAATTATATAATAAATTAAAATCTTTTATTTTTGCAAATTTTTTGCACAAATTGTGCAACAAATTTTGTCACAATGATGTTAAAATTTGACATCTCCCCAAGGTTAAGAAGGCCATTACAATCAAGGAGGCTGATCACTTTTGTTAGAAAACACATTTTTTAGACCCTATTGTCAGGCCCGTCTTTACACATGTCCAGCATAGGAAGCCGCTGCTGGGCCAAGGCATTTAGAGAGGCTAGCTGGGAAGGAACTAATTTTTTTTTATTTTACAAACTTTAGTTTTACACTTTTAAACTTTAAACAGAATATATATCAGCTGGGGACAGCCGTTTAACCTGATGCACAAATACAGAAAAGTTTAACAAAGTAAACAAAAAGCTTTAAGTAGTTTAAGTTGAATTGATAGTGGAATGAACTGTATCGCTCTCTGTCTATTTTTGTTCAAGAGCTTTAATCAAGTTTAGTCAAATTTGAAAATAACTTATGTTATTGGTGGGAGCTAACAAAAACTCTGCTGCTGTGATAAAACCAAAAATCTTTATTCATCAAAATCATTTCCGTGGATCTGTCACTGCTCTGCTGAGCTTGCATATCAAAGTATCAGACTTCACTGTGAGAAAAAAAAACAATTGTTAAGGTTAACCTTATCATCAATCGACTTTTATTTGAGCTTGAAAGACAAAGACAAGTTTATACTTTACTTCTCTTTAGTTTTGGATTCTTTGTTCCTTTTATCTAGATATGGATTCTGACGCACTCACATGGATTTACTTCTGGTTATTTGAACAAAGAAATTTCAATTAATCCCATAATTAGCAATCTTATTCTGAGGATATTTCTTTCTACTGTTGTTACAAATTGTACGGGAAAAAGTTCCTTTTCAAAATTCAAAAAGAACGTCAAGAATTGCTACAGGTCTAATAGCAGAAAAAAAAAAGTTTATCAGCTCAATTAAGTATGCCATGACAAAAAAAAGTGCTAAAAAAACAGATTTTTTTTGGTACAGGGGGAGGGGAAGGAAGGGAAGAGTTTGTAGAGGCCACAACTGTTATTTCGCTGTGGGGCCAGGATGACCTAAAGACGGGCCTGCCTATTGTGTATTGAGGGCGCTGAGAGCCGCCTTGTTTGATCATTTTTAAAACATCTTTTTCAATGAAATGAGAATATATCACTCAAAAAAGAAACTTCTTCCTAAAGAAAATCATAAACTTCTAGGGTACTAGATTTTTATTTCTAAATTTTGTTTAAATAAGAATTTATGTTTATAAAGTGATAAGTTGTTATGTTTTATTATGCTCATAAAATATTCTTTTCTGTTTTACTGTAAAATTCAAAGTATTAATTAATAATAATGTAATAATTATTAAAATAAAATAAAAAAAGTTCGAAGATAAAAGAAAAAAGATATAAAATAAAAATTTCGAAGGTAAAAGAAAGAAGATATAAAGTTCCAATATATCATTATATCAAATAAAGTTTAAAAGTAGTTCTTAGAATATTTATTAAG